GGAGATCCTGGCAACAGTGAATCTGCTTGGGGGCTTGAATAGTTAGTATAGCCTTTCCCAGAGCAGAAGGAAGACTGTTCTCTGCAATTGTTTTTCCAGGCCTTCACATAGCATTGTTTGAAGTGCTTAATGCTTGCGTTGCATAGGTTTGCAGTCGTATTGTCCTTCTTAAGGGATGTCATGTAATAGAGGCACTTGTCAAATCCTTATTCTTAATCTTCATCCAGCCATTGAGAATTTGTCTCTGCCACCCTATGATCTGTCCATACCATCCTGTCCTCTCCAAACAATCTGTATAAATTCTGCTTATGAGAGCTAATGAAGTGAGTCTCAAAGCTTCAGTAAAATGTTCTTCTTTTTGCAATTTTGCTGAGTACAGGTGTCTAGCTATCTCAAATAGAAGCAAAGAAAGAAACTAGGAGTCTGCTCCCTAGTCGTGTTGATTCAGAAGTTCTTACCAAGGTCCACGCCATTTGTGCTTTTGCCAAAAGCTGCCACCATTACTGTGATGGGGAGCTACCCTGTTTTCCTGAAAATAAGACATCCCCTGATAATAAGCCCAATTGGGCTTTTGAGCGCATGTACTAAAATAAATCCCCCCCCCTCCGAAAATAAGCCCTTCCCAAAAATATTTAAACGCCAAGCTGGAAATCAGGTAAGATGGCAAGAGGAACCCCATCTTGCTCCACATGCCCCAAAATAATAAGACCTCCCGAAAATAAGGCCAAGCGCTTATTTCAGGGTTCAAAAAAATATAAGATGGGGTCTTATTTTCAGGGAAACACAGTAATAGCAACTTATGTGTATGTGTATCTATTCACGGCACAGGGATAATTGTTGTGGTTTGCATTACCTATATTTCTTTTTATGACTTCTTTTATAAAAAAAAATTTTTTTTTGGTTACGTTTGTCTTTTTAAAAATTAGCTAAATCTAAAACTTAATAAATGTAAATATTAGGTATTTATTTGGCTAAGGTCACCATGAAAGGTTTACTGAGACAATAAAAACATAGTGTACCAAGAATGTTTGTGAATCTCTGCTTTAAATCCAGATTGTTCCCTGGAAATTACTAATCCGGAAATTGCAAGTTAATTGACCAGGAATATCTATTTCTCTACTTATCTGAATGTATTCCCTCCACTATCTTCAAAGACTGAGGTTGATAACAAAAACACTCAAAAGTACATTTGAAATACTTCATGAACTCAGTTTAGAATTTGAGTTAAAAAAAATTAAAACGGCAACTGATCTTAGATTCTCCAAGTGTATCAACACTTGATGCTGCTCCCTAATGCTAGATATAAATTCCAAGGTTGAATTTTTTGTGTGTTTTGCAATATAATATATAATTAATTCTTAGGAGCGTTTATAACATTGAAATTATATTAAATTACAGCAAACCAGTAGCTAGGTTGCAAAAGGCAGACAAATTTTTAAAAAACCAAAAAGTCTTTGCTTGGAATGAAGAATGATCTAAATGATCATTCATCCTGAAATAAAAGTCCCAGAAAAGAAGGTGGCTACCACAAAGAAGATTCTCTCCCTGATATTGGGAATCTGTGAGTGTAGCAGAGCCTGTGTAATGGCTATATTGCGTTGATGTTGGGGGTTTTGTTTTGTTTTGACTGCTAATTACACATGTATTGATTGATTGATTGATTGATTGATTGATTGGTTCGATTTATATGCCGCCCTTCTCCGGAGACTCAGGGCGGCTTACAATGCGTTAAGCAATAGTCTTCTTACTTTTGTATATACCTGCTTAGTAGGGCTTTGCGCCCCCCCCCCAGTGGTGTTCTTTTTTATACAAAGTCAGCTGATTGCCCCCACAATCCGGGTCCTCATTTTACCTACCTTGGAAGGATGGAAGGCTGAGTCAACCTTGAGCCTGGTGAGATTTGAACTCGCAGTAATTGCAGGCAGCTGGCAGCTAAGTGCTACTTAAAAGCACTTTAGTCCGCTGCACCACCAAGGCTCTTGTATTGTTTTTTTACTATCATATTTTTAATATGGTGTTTTTAATTGTTGCTAGCTGCCCAGATTCTTGAAATGGGCAGCTGTAGTTAGTCATTAAAATAAATACTTCCAGAGTTACACACCTGAAGTGTGGACAATTGGGAAATCTAAGTTTTTGATCTGTTTTGACAAACTGGACTGAATAGTAATTGATGAGCTGGTGGCAAGTTTTTAAGTTTTATTCATTCATTCATTCAATTTCTATAGGCGGCCATCTCTGGGCGGCTTACAATTCTAAAATTATAAACCAATTAAAATACAGGTAGTCCTCGACTTACAACCATTCTGTTAGTGACCATTCAAAGTTACAGTGGCGCTAAAAAAAAGTGACGACTGCTTTTCATACATTGCCATTTACAGCAATAGCACTTAGACTTCTATACCACTTTACAGTGCTTTATAGCCTTCTCTAAGCGGTCTACTGAGTTAGCATATTGCCCCCAACAATCTGGGTCCTCATTTTACCAACCTCGGAAGAGTGGAAGGCTGAATCAACCTTGAGCTGGTCAGAATTGAGCTGCTGAATTGCTGGAAGCCGGCAATCAGCAGAGGTAGCCTGCAGTACTGCATTCTAACCACTGTGCCACCATGGCTCTTTGTAACTTTCCCAGCAGGCTTCCAACAAGCAAAGTCAAGGGGGGAAGCCAGATTCGCTTAATGACCGCATGATTCACTTAACTGCAGTGATTCGCTTAACAACAGTGGCAGAAAAGGTTGTAAAATGGGACCAAACTTACTTAATGCAGCCTTGTTTAGCAACAGAAATATTGGGCTCAGTTATGGTCATAAGTTGAGAGCTCATCTTCTTCCTAGCATTATTCTCTCTCTATGGCAGGGTCCACTTGTTGGCAAAGCCATCTCTACTTGGCTAGATCCAGGGTGTCTTCAGGGGTGACGCCCCCCACATTTTATGTCTTCCTTGATGCGATCATCCGCCATGTCTTGGATCTGCCATGGGGTCACCAGCCATCAGGGTCCAGACACATGGCCATAAGCCTAAGACTACTTATAATTAATAAAACAGTAAAAACTTCCAGGAAATACAGCCGAAATAATTTATCAAGTAACAGTAAAGCCAATTTCCCTATAGTTAAGATTAGTGTAATGGAGCCTCTGTTCTTCCGCTGCTGATCATCACTTAGGATTAGGTTGGCATCCAAGACACCCTGATGTTTCCAAGAATCCAAGGCTAGGTGTCATCTTCTGCATAAAATTAGTGTTCCTGGTTAAAGGGTCATTGGCACACTACACTTTTAGGGGTTTTCATACTTTAACAGGAATGCATAGGCAACGGCCACGTCATTGTTGCATTTTTGGTATAGAGCCGTGACGGCCAGCTGATTTTCGGGCCTTCTGGGCCCACCAGAAGTAGAGAAACAAGCTGTTTCCTGCCTCTGGAGGGCCAGGGGGCGGGGTGGGGAAGGCCTGTTTTTCTTTCTTACCTGGCTCCAGATCCTCTCTGTGTATCTGGGAAGGGCGAAAACAGCCTTTCCCACTCCCTTGGAGGCCCTACGGAGGCTGAAAGGGCCCATTTCCCGGCTCCCGGTGATGTTTTTTCCTGTCCCCAGCCTCCATAGATTCCTAAAGAGGCTCCTAGAGACTCCTAGAGAGGCTCCTAGAGACTCCTAGAGAGGTTCTGGAGGCTGGGGACAGCAAAAAATGTCACTTCCTGTCCCACCGAGAGTTGGGAAATGGGCCCTTTCAGCCTCCATAGGGCCTCCAAGGGAGTGGGAAAGGCTGTTTTCGCCCTTCCCAGATACACAGAGAGGATCTGGAACCAGGTAAGAAAGAAAAACGGGCCGACCAGGCCATCGTGTGCCAGGAGCGGGGGTGGAGGGGTGGAGGGGGTTGCGCATGCATGCGCGTGGGCACCTGCGCACGCGACCCTCTCCCCCCCCCCTCCTGGCACGCGATGGCAAAAAGGTTAGCCATCACTGGTATAGAGCTTGATTTACTGACACAATTAAGAACAAGCCTAAAAGAAGTGGGCAAAAGACATAATAGTCAGAAGGGGGAAAGAAAGAGCATACAAACCAGAAGCAACCAATTATACACTTTAATAATTCAGTAGGCTTTTCACTAATTGGCTGGAAAGTAAATACTATTTGCATAAATGCCTTGTGCCATTATTTATCCATTGCAAAAATAGAGGTTTAATTAAGACAAAAGCCTATGGACTTTTAAGCAATTAATTAAATATATTGCATTGCTGAACTAGTGAGGTGCTGAAATCTAATGTCCCTTAAGGCACAAGTAGATTTATGCTGCAATATGGAACAGCAGTTATTGCTAGACATTTTAGTTTCTTGGTGAAAAAAATATGGGCACTTTTTACCAATGAAATAATCTGAACACCATTGGTATTTTACACTACAGGAGCCAGGATTCTGTGCTGAGAGCCATGTTTTCAGATTAATAACATTCTAAATAAACCATTTCTATCTGCATGTCAATTCTGGGCATTTTAGAAGACCTTTGAATTTGTGGTCAACATGGTATTAAACAGGGAGCTGCATTTATTGCTAAGCGGTTATATCAATAATTCAGGCTTATACGAAAAGGCAGAATGATTAAAATCTGTGGGTGGGTGGGAAACCATTTAAGTAACTTTGCCTGTAGAACAGTGAGGCCTTTGGCGTGTTTGGAAATGTATCTCCACAATTAGCATGGCTGCTGGTGTGATGTTAGAGCCATTTTCATGTCTCACTTGTGATTGTTTTCTGAAACAACTGAAACTATCCAGATTTTACTTGATAGCAGTAATTTTTGTTGCCTCTGCTATGTGGAATTCCCTCCATATAAAAACACCCCAAGTAAATTTGATAGAAAGCAATTGAGGAAGATCTTATCTTAACCACATGTTGGTTCAGTCACCTAATGAAAATAAGTGGTGGCAACCTCTTCTAATATATATTTCTTTAATCATGGTACCTCTAAAATGTTGATTATGATTCATGTACATTTTTAAACAATTATTTTTAGGAGACCAAAGGACCAAAAGCATTCTGCAGCCCAGTTTTCTTCGGTGCAATGGATGCATCTTGCAGTTGTAGCATGTGGCGACCGGCTGCTAGAAACTCTCAACATGCTGAAATCAGCAGTTCTCTTTAGCAACAAGAAGCTCAAATTTCATATTTTTGCCGAGGATTCCCTGAAGCCAGAGTTTGAGAAGAAAGTGAGTCTCTTTCAGTGATTTCTTTGTTTAAAAACAACTGTTAAGCCTCAGATTTGTTTAAAAGGTTACAGATTCTCCTAGAAAGCTCTGTCAGCCGCGAGTTAATGGTGGCTGAACTTCTGCTCCTAAGCTCTCAGTAAAGCTCAGCCTTAGTTAGTACATGATATTAGTTGAAGATGTTTGAATAGCATTTCTGCTCCCCAAAAGGCACCCTCCCTGTAATGCTAATTCTCCCTTTCCTTCTTGTGCTTTGCAGTTAGAGGAATGGCCTACCTCGTTCTCAAAGAAGTTTGAATACAATGTCTACCCAATCTCCTTCTCAGTTGGAAATGCTGAAGAGTGGAGAAAATTATTCAAACCATGTGCTGCCCAACGCCTCTTTCTTCCGGTAAGGTACTCAAAATGTCATATGTGAAGTGCAAAAGACATAAGAGGTTTTGTTGGTCTTAAAGTTAGAAACCTGAATGCAAAGTGGTATTATGGTCCTTTTGCCCCCAGTTCCTTTATTGCCCTGTTGTATCTTTTCAGAACAAGGAAATCAAGATCCTAGTTCCATATCTTTGTTCAGCTGAATACAGTATAGTAACAAAGAGATGTAACACATAACATCTAATTTGTCTCAGCCAACAAGAAAAAGATAGGGATTGATTGGTTTCATGCTTCATTGGTTTTATTTCAAGATTTGTATTATGAGGATAGGTCAGAAGGATATCAAGTAGATGAAAATATGATTTACTGACTTTGTGGCTGATTGCAGTCTAAATTGAATTGCCCAGTTTAGGTTACCATTCTGAAGATCCAATGTTTCCTGGATATAGGTTCCCAATATCTATCATTCTCATGCCTGCTGGGAAAGATGGAATTTATGGACTAACACATATTGGAATTATTGGGAATATTCACTATATCTGTTCCCCCCCACAGCATAGTTAAGAAACCTTGTAATCAAGATATGAGACTGATAGAGAGCCAGGGACAACAGTAGAATGCATTGGAAAAGAAACTGATGCAGTGTGGACAGTACATATTTGTTGAACTGGTTCTGATTCTGGTTCAAATTACCTATGATTACCTAGCCTTCTCTGTGAGAGCCTTCTCTGTGGGGGCACCTACTATCTGGAACGAGCTCCCCCCAGAGATACGGAGGATCCCGGATCTGCGCACCTTCCGCCGCGCCTTAAAGACCTTACTATTTCACCAGGCCGGCCTGGCCTAATTTTCCCCCTCTTTTATAAAAGATTTTTAAAATTTTAAATATCTTTTAGTATTTTATATATTCAATTTTAAATTGGTTTTAAAAGTTTGGGGTTTTAAATTTGTCGGGGCCAAAATTATTTAATTTGATTTTATTCTATTTTTAAATTTTGTATGTATGTGTTTTTATTGTTTGGCTGTGCACCGCCCTGAGTCCTTTGGGAGTAGGGCGGTATAGAAATCTAATAAAATAAATAAATAAATAAATAAATAAATGATTAATTATAGCTGGAAGATTGTATTGTGAGTAGCACCCAATTAGAGAAGGGCCTTGGTAATAGTTGGGATTGTGGGAAGGAGAAATTTAGCTTATTCCTCCACAGCTTCATATCTGAAGACAATCCATTCTCAGCAGATGCTGCTGCTTCTTGGGCAAATTCTCCAGAGATGCTAGTGGGGGATTTCCTCTGTGCATATATTTCCTCTGTGCAAGAAGGGTTTTCCCATCAAGTCTCAGCAGGAGGAAATTAATTCACCTCTGTGCTTTCTGCTATTCTGGTAATTACCCAACTCGATCCATTGAAACTATGAGCATTTATAATCAATGAAGCACATAGTGTCTTCTTTGGGGCATTCTTTGGCTTTTTCAATTATCCAGTGTACATCAGCAATAATGACTTATATTTCTCGGCCTTTTCTAAACACAGCTTGAACATCTGGTGTCTCTTTTTCCATGCAGAGCTCTAATCTGTATTGGATAATCCCAAGTATTATTTTGCTAGCGTGTCAGATTAAGGATATTGTATGATAGTTTAGTTGCACTCTGTTAAGTCTCCCTCTCTCTCTCTCTCTCTCTCTCTCTCTCTCTCATATTGGAATGTAGATTGACCTCTTTCAGTCTCTCAGCCACTGTATCATTCTCTAAATTTGCTGGCACAGCTTGCTTAGAAACTTTACTGATTCTTCTGCTGCTGCTTGTCATATTTCAGTGGGTATTCCCATCAATTCCTGTAGCCTTGATGATCACTGGAGTGCAGATTTAATTTCATCTTCTGTACTAGAAGTTCTCATAAGTAGGAAATATCATCTAAGTTACTGTTGTACAATATTTCAGAATATTCCTTCCATTTTGGTTTGCTCTCCTTTGAATCAATCATTATCTATCAATTGGTCTCTTTTGATATCATTTGCAAGATTGGAACTTGCTTCTGGACTCACAGACTTTTAAAAATATTTTCCTTGTTTTTCTATGTCTGGTTCCACCTTCAATGCATTTACTGATGTTGTAATACTGCTTCTTGTCTCTTCTAACAGCTCTCTGAAACCCCTTAAGATTCTGAGATGTTTGTTTTTCTTGGCTTTCACTTCTCTTCTTGGCAATTTCTATGGTTTGTTCTGACATTCAGTTTGCTTTATGTTTCCCAATTTTAGGCAATCCTTTTTCATAATCATCTTTAACAACTTCTTTTAAGTTCATTCCATTCTTCCTCTGGTTCTCTTAAGGGCAAACCACTTCTGAAAAAAGTTGCCATGAAAACTGCAAGGATTTGTTCAGGCAGTTTCCAAGAACTGGACATTGCTGAACAGACCAAAAAAAAAAAAAGTATTACAATAAATAATGTTTATTTCTGTTAGGTAGAGCATCACTCACATTCAAAATAGTGTGGCTCTTAGGGTTCCATGACCCAAACATTCTCATCTGTTCTGTACAATAGAATATATATGTCTATGAAATTTGTCCACTTTAAGAATGAGTTTGTTTCCTTTAGTTAAGTCAGTCTGTTAGCCTCGTGTGCCTACCTCAAGGCAAACTAAGATTGAATAAGATGGAACACTCAGTTTCATATTGCAGCTATTTTCACTTTTGCATCCAGAATCAGAATCAGAACAGAGCTGGAAAGGACGTTGGAGATCTTCTAATCCCTTGCTCAAGCAGGAGACTTTATACAGAGCCTTGGTGGCGCAGCAGACTAAAGTGCTGTTAAAAAGCACCAGCTGCCTGCAATTACTGCAAGTTCAAATCTCACCAGGCTCAAGGTTGACTCAGCCTTCCATCCTTTCGAGGTAGGTAAAATGAGGACCCGGTTTGTGGGGGCAATAAACTGACTTTGTATAAAAAAGAATACCGCCTGGGGGGGCCCCGAAAGCCCTACTAAGCAGATATATACAAAAGTAAGAAGGCTATTGCTTAACACATTGTAATCCGCCCTGAGTCTCCGGAGAAGGATGTCATATAAATTGAACCAATAAATAAATAAATAAACAATAAATAAATACCATGGCTGTCCAGCGATAAAGAGATCTGTCCTATCCAGGTTTGTCCCTCTGATAAATTTTTCAGTATTTTTACTTTAAAAAAAGAAAAAAAAAGAACATAGAACAAACCTAGTTTTATACACATGTGCACTCTGTGAGAAGTTTACTCATCCTACCTAACTTTTCAGATCTAATACTTCGGTGAAATTGCACTAGCTCTTCCTAGGTATTATCTTGAGAGAGTAATAGAAGTGTTTATGCAATAAGGTTAGAAAGTGACAACTGTCATTCTCAGCAGGAGATATTTTCTCCAAGAACCGAAGCATCCAGCTGCTGCTTCAATTTTTTTGTCATGATACTATTTAGGGGCTTGCCACCTTTTATTTCCGTGTGCTGCTCCTTTTCAGTTAATAAGACTCACAGTTCATGCTGTCACCCCTGTATAGAGTTTAATAAAGTGCTGTTCATATTCTGACACAGATAATATGTTAGCTTCTTGCTGACTCGCAACACAATCTGCTTTTTGTTTTGGAACTCTTCAGCACTTCTGCTTATTTATTAGTGGCAGTTTTATAATGTACTTTAGCCAAAAAGGCTGCTAGAGTGACTAATGTATAATCACTAATACAAGACAGTCTGTGCCTTGGTTTCATTCCCATCTCCCTTTTTAACTTCTTTGCAATATGAAATAAAAAGGAAAGGAAGAATGGGAGAGAAACAAAGTTAAATGTATTTTTCATGTTATGGGGCAGGCAAGCATTGATGACTAGATTTCAGAGAAAAGGTGTGGAAGGGGGCTTTTGATTTGGATTTTGTCTTAGGTTTTTAAGGCAAAATAGGAATCTTAAGCTCAACGGAGGCTTCGCATACTGATACTTTCTGGAAAGAATGGAAAAAACTCTCAGTACAGGTAGTCCTCAACTTACAACAGTTCATTTAGTGACCGTTCAAAGTTACAACAGCACTGAAAAAAGTGACTACTATTGCAGCATTCCCATGGTCATGTGATCAAAATGCAGACGCTGGACAACTGACTCACATTTATGACTTTTGCAACCTTCTGACAAGCAAAGTCAATGGGGAAACCAGATTCACTTAACAACCACATTATTAACTTAACAACTGTGGTGATTCACTTAACAACAAAAAATTTGGGCTCAGTTGTGGTCATAAATTGAGGACTACCTGTAGGTAGCACATTAAACCTAGTGAATACTTATGTTAAAGACATAAAAGGGTTACATTTTGATTAAGTGAGAGGAATCTGAAGAAGTCCTAGAATTACTTAGTAGAATATCAGGCTCTGTAAACATTTTGTTTCAATTAATCACTTTATGCAAAACAATGAAAGATACACCCCAAAATAATCATTTGGTTCAATTTATTTTGATTATTTAACCTGTCACTTTTAGTAATAAGAGTATGCTCACATAACTACCCAAGAACGATATGTATTTTAAAAAAATGGGATGTTGATACTTCAAGACTTATGCAAAGGATGTTTGTTTGTTCAGTTTCTATGGATGCCCATCTCTGTCCATGACTCTGAGAAGCTTACAATTCAGTTGATTCAGACTTAGCTTTTAAGAGTTTTTTATTTATTTATTTTTATTTATTTTTTAAATTTGGTTTATATGCCGCCCTTCTCCGGAGACTCAGGGCGGCTTACAATGTGTTAAGCAATAGCCTTCATACTTTTGTATATTTATACAAAGTCAGCTTATTGCCCCCACAACTGGGTCCTCATTTTACCTACCTTAGAAAGGATGGAAGGCTGAGTCAACCTTGAGCCTGGTGAGATTCAAACTTACAGTAATTGCAGACAGATGGTGTTAATCACAATGCTTTTAGTCTGCTGAGCCACCAGGCCCCTTTATTGCCTGTATTCCATGTCTCGCGGTCAGGGAGATGGGTGGTTTCTAAATTGAATAACTAAAACAGATAAATAAAACGTCTTTTTAAAAACATGGCAGCTAAGCTTTTACATCTGAATACATTCCATTGCTATTGCCAGCCTAAAGATGTATCTTGTTTTATGTATTATATTTTAGTTTACCCATAGTACAAAAAAGAAGGAACATAGATCGGGGTTCTATCCCCAACCTTCTATTTGCAAGTTAGAGTAGCAATATTTAGGAAGTTTTCCCAAACATGGGTTTGCAAAGGTGGAACTTTACTCTGGTGGTCCATTCATGGTATAGTGCCTGCAAATTTAATCAGAGAGTTGTTTGGGAATGAAGACAATTAAAATGAAGGTTTTTTTGGTAAAATTAGAGGGGAGATAAACTAGGGAAGAAGCACTGTGCAAAGCCTCAAATCTACTCTGCTGTGTTGTATAAAATTATTGAAATTAGGGATAGATTTATAAAGAACATGATGGCCACAAGAGGGCATATGGCAAACAAGAATTAACAATCTGATTATAATTCATTCATCTGATACACTGTTATCAATATAATTAGTGAGCCAGTGTCTTCCATGACAATTCTTTCCAGCAGTTCAAGCTGGGCAAGAGCTACAGCTCAATCACAGAACACCCTATATGTATGCTGAAAATTTGGAATTCGGTTTTTGATCTCATTTGTTATAGGAAGGAAGACATCATATTCTAATAAATCCATCTTCCCCAACCTGGTGCCTTCAGGTGGGCCAAAGATGAGTGATCACCATCTCCAGATGATGTAATTCATCAGGTCTGGAGAGCACTAGGTTCGGGAAAGTTATGATTTACTAACATATGGATAAGGCAGAGAGTTTAAAAGTCGAATGTGATCGTTGTATCAAAAAGTCTTGGTACTACAAAGAGCCTTGGTACTACAGTGGTTTAAAGCACCCTGTTATTAACACAGCTGCCTGCAATTTACTGCTGGTTCGAATCTCTCCAAGGCTCAAGGTTGACTCAGCCTTCCATCCTTTCTAAGGTAGGTTAAATGAGGACCCAGTTTGTGGGGGCAATAAGCTGACTTTGTATAAATATACAAAAGTATGAAGGCTATTGCTTAACGCACTGTAAGCCGCCCTGAGTCTCCGGAGAAGGGCGGCATATAAATCAAATTAAAAAAAATAAATAAAAAAAAAAAAGTCAAAAGGAAGAAACAAATTGAGAAAGACAAGATGGAGTGCAGATATAATTGTTTCTGTCTGAACAAGAGGATATAATAGGATCTTGAAGTTTGTCCAGCAATCTGTGCTGTACCATATTTTTCGGAATATAAGACGCACCTTCCCCCCCCCCCAAAAAGAGGGTGAAAATCTGGGTGCGTCTTATACTCCGAATGTAGCCCTGCCCAGACTTTCAAACTGAGATTTCAGAGGCTGAAAAAAAGCATCAGAAACGAAGCTTCAGAAAAGAAGCCCCCAAACAGAGCTTCAGAAATGAAGCCCCCAAACAGAGCTTCAGAAAAGAAGCCCTCAAACAGAGCTTCAGAGGCTTTTTTTCTGAAGCTCTGTTTCGGAGGCTTTCAGAGGCAGGAAAAAAAGTTTTCCCTGAAACAGTTTCAGAAGTTTCAGAGGCAGAAAAAAAAGCAAGGCACAGAGCTCACAACCAAAAAACTTGTTGCTAAAATTCACCTCTGAGAACAGCTGATTGGGGGTATTCTGGGAAGCTGATCCACCTGCCAATCAGCTTTTTTCTTATTTTCCTCCCCAAAAACTAAGGTGTGTCTTATACTCTGGTGCATCTTATACTCCGAAAAATACAATAGGTTGTTCCATTATAAAACTATAAAACCCTGGGTGAATTAACCGTGATTGGCTTTCTTCTATTCCTGCTGGAAAAGTCTGTAGACTGTGTGCCTTCAAAAACTCTCTACTGCCTGATATGGCTTAAGACTTGAACAGATAAAACTTGAGATACGGAGGATTCTGGATCTGCGTACCTTCCGTCGCGCGCTTAAGACGTTCCTATTTCATCAAGCTGGCCTGACCTAAACTTTTCCTCTTTTTAAATGGGAATTTTAAATTTGGTTTTAAATTATTGGGGTTTTAAAATGGTTCAGCCAAATTTATTTAATTTGTTTTATTTCTATTTTAAATTTTGTATTTATATGTTTTATTTTATGGCTGTTCACCGCCCTGAGTCCTTCGGGAGTAGGGCGGTATACAAATTTAATAAAATGAAAATGAAATGAAATGAAATGATTCATCTCTGAGCCCTCTAAACAAGGCAAAAAAAGGAGAGTTGGCAATTAAGAAGGGAAGACATTGCTTGCCATTCAAAGGGGAATTGGATTTTTCTCTGAAGCAAGCAATGGATTCCTCTTCCAGGTTAATAACTTATCAATTCTATATCTATTTTCCTTGTAACTCTGGTGTTGGGAAGTAACTTCCTTAACAATAAAAGGAAAAGAAAGCTGATGCATTTGACTTTTTTTGGGAGGGGAAAGTGCAAACTACTGAGCAGCGTCTGACCTTTCTCCTCCTCCCCTCTTCCATTCCCCTTGCCTTTGTTCCTGTCTACTTGACCCTGAAGCATTGTGCCAGAACCTCTTTATTTGAACAGAAAGGCAAGTGATTGCCTTGTGATTGGTATATATCCATTTGTGAGTCTTTTAATATATTTATTTTTGTTTTCCTGCATATATGGCTTTCTCAACCATCTGGGCTTTTTCCAAAGATGATTTTGAAGGATGTGGATTCCCTTCTGTATGTGGACACAGATGTCTTATTCCTGCGACCCATTGATGACATTTGGAGCTTTCTGAGAACTTTTAATGCCACCCAGTTGGCTGCAATGGCACCGGAACATGAAATACCAAAGATTGGCTGGTATAGTCGTTTTGCTCGCCACCCATACTATGGAACCACTGGGGTGAATTCTGGTGTCATGCTAATGAATTTAACCCGAATAAGAAATACCCAATTCAAGGTAAGGAGATCATTTTTTTATTTTGGGAAGAATATCTTTGTTGGGATAGAGTTGTTTTTTACTCCATTTCTTGTTAGTTGTGCAAAACTTTGACAGATTATGGAGTTTAGTTTCTTTCTGTACAGATGGCATTGATATGATGAAAACGTAACATGGACTATGTTTTTTTTTTTTTTTTGAGAAATGTCCACCATGTAGATCAATAAGTACTCAAACTGGTTCTAAGACAGATAGTGAAAGAACAGTTATTTCGGCAGAATATTTAGACTTAGAAGACTTAGAGCAGTGGTTCTCTACCTGTGGGTCGGGACCCCTTTGGGGGTCGAATGACCCTTTCACAGGGGTCGCCTAAGACCATCGGAAAACACATATTTTCAATGGTCTTATGAATAATTTTATTGTTGGGGGTCACCACAACATGAGGAACTGTATTAAGGGGTCGCAGCATTAGGAAGGTTGAGAACCACTGACTTAGAGGCACTGCTGCCACCAAACCAAATAGTGATGCAATTTGTTAAAACGCTCTCAATTGTGCCTCTGTAAAAGCGCATGAACTGTAGGCCTTCAAATGCTTCTACACAAAGGATTGACACACTAAAAATGCTATCAGTGTAGCCAGTCTTTCAGGTACCCTTTGGATATGTTAGACTTCAGCACCCATAATCCTTAACCATCACACCCAGTGGGGGAAGAGTGATTGAATATTTGTCAGGCAGAATACTAAGGTAGATTTCTTGTTTAGCATCTTGTTGAAAGCAACTTTTTTCATACTGTTTGGTCACTGAACCCAGCTAGAAGGTGCACCATGGCTATAGCTTCCTCCTGCTATGATTGTAAATTTGTGGTTACAATTACTTTATCAAATCATTTATTTCTCTATTTCAGAACAACTTGATACCAACAGGCTTGAAATGGGAAGAGATGTTGTACCCGTTATACCAAAAGTATAAAAATTATATTACGTGGGGAGACCAGGACTTGCTAAATATTATTTTTTACTTCAATCCAGGTGCATACTTTATAAGTATATAGGATATTGTAATATAATGATAGCACTATTTTAACTTTGAGTATATAATAATAATTTTAAAAAATTGAGACTCTCCAAGTATAAGTGTTGCTTTATTGTCCCTTTATGCCATAATATATTTCTATATCTTTTTCCAATCATTGGAAGTCTCCACCTTTTGAAAATTCTACCAATTTTCTTTTCTCAAAAACCATAATACTGATTGGAGCAACCAGGAAAAAATCAGAATTATATATATTTGTATTCATCATTTATATGATGTTGTTATAAAAAAATTTTTTTCTGATTTCTTTGCATGTCTTGTATTTAAAGCCAATTCCTAGACATCATTCTATTCTTGGATAATAGAGTAGTGTGGTGCCTAGGGGTGAAGATGCTCGCCTGCCACTCTGAAGGCTGAGAGTTCAATTCTATGTAGTGGCAGATGTCTCTGTCCTAGAGCAGAAAGAAAAAATATCTTTTGCAAAGTCCACGTGGCATCAGGAAGGGCATCCGGCCAGTAAATGCTCAGCTCCATCTAGTCCCCCTCCCCCCCAAAATTACGACAGTGTAAGGGGGTTACAGGGTTGTAAAAAAAAGTCATTCTACTCTTGGCTAATATTTTTTTCTCTATTTTATGTATTTTTATTTTCCTTCCTGTTAGAATGTCTCTACCTCTTTCCCTGTCAGTGGAATTATCGACCCGATCACTGCATGTATGGCAGTAATTGCAAAGGAGCAGAAGAAGAAGGCATTTCAATTCTGCATGGAAATCGAGGTGTCTATCATGATGATAAACAACCTACTTTCAAAGCACTCTATGAAGTGATACGTGATGTAAGTGATGTTTTGCCAAATCACAATTTCTTGCATAAAATAAGGCTGCAATATATAGTATCAGTAATGTGTTTTATTGTTACAAGAATCCCGGAATGTAGAGCAACCTAAGAGATTCTAACTTATTCAGAATTTCCAATGAATATTATACTTGAATGGATGCTTGAAATTAGGTCCTCCTGCTCCTATTATAGAACTCCATCCATGATACCATATCTGTCCTCAGGGACTTTGGCAATGTTCTTGATGCAAGACATATAAAACACAACTTCTTCATCCAGATTCAGAATCAAGAGTCCCAATTCAGTTTATCCCAATGTTCAAGTCAAAAAAAATTGAAGGTGGTACTTTTCTGGACTAATGCTAAGACTAATTAAATATGTGGTGGGAAAAAAGGACAAAGAGTTAGATGATAATGATACCCAGTAGATCGGATTAAGTAATATAGAAAGTTACTAAAGACGAGGATGAGGAGATGTAATAAATGAGAGTCATTCTATGTGTTTTCTATTGGTGCCAAGTAGGAGAAGATGATGATACATATAAGTATCAACTATGAACCAACCATTTAAGGTTGCTGACTACATTTTTGTATCTTTTTCTTCTTTAGTTTTCCTTCGAAGACAATCTCTTCCAATCAATGTACTATCCTCTCCAGTCCAAGTTCCTCAATACTGTACACACTTTATGTGGGCGAATTCCACAGGTTTTTCTGAAACAAATTGAGAGAACCATGAAGAAGGTCTATGAAAAACATGTGATTGTCAATATTGGAGCCAATTTCAGATTATAATTGTAGCAATATATTTTAATGGAGCTTTTGTCACCCATCATATGAACTGAAAGTTCTGTGCTGGTTTTTGCAACAGTTCTGTAAACAGGTACCTGGGAGTAAGATTCATGAAGCTTAGTAAGACATTTCTGACTAGACATGTATAAGATTGCATTGAGTCAGTTATTGCTTAAGCAAAATGACAAGGCTTATTTTTAATTATAATAATGACCATTCCATTATTTAGCTTGATGGTGGTTAAAGCAATGGTTTAAATTCTGGGAAAAAGAAAAGAAAAATACTGTTGTAGGTAAGATGAGGAACATAAATATTTGGAAACTTAAGACAAATACAAGGAGAATTTCTCTGTAATTCTGTGAGAAGGCTCTTACAGATATTTCTTGTGCTGGAAAATAACTGCTGAGAATACGTAATGATATAACTTAGTTTTTACAATGGCAGAGGGATGGATTCTGTAGTTCATCATTCAATGCATGTTGTTGCTTTGAAACTTTGCTCTTTGATGTTAGTAACTTTGGATTTTGGCATTTCCATACTATCAATTCTCTTCAAACCTAGAGTAGAAGATACCTTTGGGTTTTCTTGTCCCTCCCTTTTCACCAATTCACAGTGAGTATCCACTTTTGGTACCATATAGTTGTCTTTGAGTTGAACTTAGTCCATTCAGCTATTTCAGCACAGGAAATTAGCCTTCCTCTCTGCTTCCATTCATGGCACTTGATTCACCAACATTCCCTTTAGGACACCATTGAAAATGTCTTTGTCCTGCCTCTAGACCTTCTGCAGGTTAACTCTCTTTTGTTGCATCATGGTCTTGATTGCCAAACTGACATCAAGACTATAATTTGAACCTCATACTTTTAGACGGTTTTCAGCAGATTGCAATTGGTCACAGTTCATGTGTCATTTCACTGAGGAACATCTATCTCTTTGGTATTTTAGGGACCATTATTATTATTAAATCATATGGGGATTCTGTTTCAGCAAATCTAACTGTGCCCCAATTATTTTAACCAGAAGGATTGTCAGCCTTGCTACCTTGGTACTTGAGGATAGTGAGGTGAAGGTTAATTTCTTCTCTTTGCTAAGGTTTACATGATGAAAACAGCAACTATTGTTGGTGTTATTTCTTTAAAGCTTGGTGGAAGGACTGTATGTAATAAACCAAGTAGATTCTTGTCTGAAAAAAAATGTTTTAACTAGTTATTAAGGTGATATTCTTTACTTTGCATGATGTAACATAGAGTTGTCTTTATCATCTCACCAAGTATTAATATATCCATTTTGTTGTCTGCTATCTTTGCTACACCTGATTAAGACAACTATTCTTCCGAACATCTTTATCCATTTCTGAGTTAAAATGCAGAACGCTTTACAGGAATATATTTTTGTCATTTTACATACAGAATTTGAGGAACAGACTTTTCACATAGAGTTGTATACTATGTTCTAGATAGCTCTTTTCTGTCTCAAATATTTATGTAGTAATATTTTTCATTATATTACTCTGAAGCAGCTTTTGAGCTGTTTCCTTCTTTACATTTTTGCAAATGTGTCCTAAAATGTAGGACAGAATTTACTACAAAATCTCACTTTGGTAAGAAGAATTTGATGTTAGTTAGTGTGGCCTGCAATCTGGCCTGTAGAATGGAAGCATATGAGAGGGTGAGCTAAGAGATCAACCAGAGGGTAAAAGAAAATCTGGTTGGATTTGTAAGTGTCACCCTGTGAATAAGTTAAGTGAATTTGAAACTGCTACTATACTAATGCCAAATTAGTTTGTCTGATGCTAGTGCTCCTTAAAGAGTAACAGCAAAACCGAAAGGTTAACACCATGCCACATCCTCCTTTGTGGATTTGTGTGTTTTTTGTCTCTGCAAAACGAAAGCTCATTTGAGTATAACTTAATTGCAGAAAAATTCAGAATGCCTTGCCTAGCAATTATTAAAAAGAAAAATAAATTTCCATAAAAAGTATTAGAAAATCAAACTCATGGAAAAGGAAGAAGAGCTAAATGCTTATTTTATAGCAGATATAATATTCAAAGGGATGAAAAGATCTAATATTATCCATCCAAAAGATAGAATCTTGAAAAATCTCTTTAATGGAAAATTGATACAATTTTCAAGAGTGAGTTTGGCCTTTTTTCACTTGGTGAAATATATCCCTGGATTAGTTGCTTTCTGTTAAATCTCCATTCATGTGCAGGATCTCAGGTGCCCTGTAAGATGTTTCAAAATCCAGTATTGCAAAGTTTTTTTAAAGGGTTTTTAAAAATGCTATTTGATACAGTATTTGATTCCAGGACAGATTTAGAATTTGTCCAGTTCAATTTCTCAAACAGTGTCTTTATTTAATCCTTTTATATCTCCTGTATGATACTCACAAGCATATACACATCTCAGAGAAGATTGGAAAATACTTGGATATGCATCACAAAACTCTTTGAGATTTGCCATACATTGAAGCAACATTGCTATTGCGGTTTTCTTTGAAGGGAAAATAACCTAAAGTCTATAGTAAGAATTCTGCTCCCCTTGAACCTTTGATTTGAGTTACTTTATCAGATGTATTGGAAGTTGAATTCAAATCCTAGAGATGAGGACTAGCTCAAAGACAACAATGAATTCTGGTGTGCTACCAAAGTAGTTTTTTAAAAAAAAATCATTTTTGTAAATTCAAATTCCTTTTCAGAAATTGAGTTCCAGTTATACTTTTATAGTAAACTAAATAGTGTGATTTTGAACATAAAGAAGGAAGCAGTTACCGGTAACTTTCTTGTCATATAAAGTATTATCTCTACCATATTTTGATATGTTTACAAAAATTGTAATGTATTATATTTTGGTTTGTTTTTTAAAAAACAAGCAAACCTAAAAATACTTTTTATATTTTCGCTTGATTTATAAAGGATTTAATTTTCTAATAGTGAATTAACACTAACAATTCTGCACAGTATTAGTAGACTTATGCAAGGAAAAATATCCGTTTGCGTTCTGTTCTTGGGACGTTGTTGGTGGATTACATTGCAAACCTTTTAAGAAAAAAAATTAAAATAATTATAAATATATTTGCTGGATAAATTCCTAGCTTGTTTAAACAAATAGCTTGCAATTTTCAGTACATTTCATATTATAATTTTAATAACATTTTTTTAATATGTTATTAATATATGCAAAATACTAATTACTGATTTTTTAAAAAATAACCATTATATATAGGGCACATATAAATATTTATTTCAACACCCACATCTACATGCTGTGTTATTTTTTTATATTAGGATATGAGAAGGGGATTTTCCACCTACTGTGATTCAGTAAAAAGACTGACATCAAAATAACTGTAAACCAAGGTAAATTAAGATTACAGGACTGGAGAAACAAGAGTGAATTTATAATCTTGTTTTAATAGTTTTGTGGTAAAACTATACTTTAATCTCTAACTGATGCATAGTTGCTTAACTAGTTCTGCTTGCTGGCTCAGTGTACATTAAAGTCTGTCAGTAACTGAATGGCAAACACTCAAATAATGAACCATAGGGCTGTAATAAATTATGTACATCTACAATTAAAAGGAGAATAGTTATATTGATGAACTGTCACCAGTTTCAGTCCTAAATCTCAATCTTGGGTACATTTCTATCTGCAAAATATTACCTATAGCTGATTGATCCTTTGCAGACCTAGACATGTCTATACCTATTGATTTTAAGGTTGAATGTGCCAAAAATCCTTTTACAAGTGTACAACTTCATGTACACTTGCTTTCAATAACTGCCAGATTACTATCTCAAAGACTTGAAGCGTCACAGTTCAAGATAGACTGTCAAGATAGATGTAGCTCTTCAGATATGTCTATGGGGATTCTCAGTCATCCAGGTCATTTTTGTCCCAAAGATGCTTTTTCAAATGTGATCTGATGTGTATGAATTTAACCTTGATTTGGAAGGAATTTGTCCTATTGCCAAATTGCTTTAAGGCAGGAGTGGGCAAATGTGGCCCTTTTACAACCTGTGGACTTCAACTCCCAGAATTCCTGAAACAAGCTGTCTCAGGAATTCTGGGAGTTGAAGTCCACAGGTTGTAAAAGGGCCACATTTGCCCACCCCTGCTTTAAGGGGTCCTTGATGCTCTTTGAGCTTGGTTGTTTTCTTGCAGACTTTTCATTGCCCCAAACTGTTGTGTAATGACTGCAACAGTTACTATATAGGACAAGCAGATAGAAGACTAATAAAGTGCATCCATGAACACGAACTAGCAGTCAGAAGTCAGGATGAAAACTCCCTAATTGCATAACATATGGACAGACTTAACCATAGTTTCAACTGGGAAACTGGAACCATCCTAGACCAAGCCAAATTCAAAAACACTAGGAAATTTCTAGAAGTTTGGCACTCTGACAAATTAGCCATCAATAGACACATATACATAAACAATATCTACATACTATGCAAAAGAGACAAACAACAAGGCAAAAAGGGAACAAAAAGACTGAAACATCCCCCACCAGCAATTAACACTCAGATGAATATAGATTTAACTCCAAGATTAATATCAGGCCAACAGTCAAGAAGTAAACAATACCCCAATCAAGGAATTCACAAACAAGCTAACAGTAAGCAGCCCAACCAAGGAACCTGTAAAATCACTTCCACCAACACTGACAGGGCAAGTCACTAGAATATAAACTGAGATCAAACCCCACTCCTTGCTAGCACTGATAATATTACCTACTTTGTGTAATTTGTGTAATAAAACATCTACAAAAAACCCAACCAACCCTCCCAAGTTCAGAGGGTATGAAGGACGCCTCATTTCAACCCTTAGTTACAAATATTCTCCTTTATTGGCAAACTGCTTTTATTTATTAGAATTGTATCTTTATAATTTTCAGAATTCCAGAGTCTCCAGAATGTTGATACAACTTAAAAATTCATTCTCACCTTATTTTTTTTGTTCTGAATCCAGTCATAGTCTAAGAAAAAAATATTTTTTTAGCGCTAAGAAACTTCTTGATGAGATGTAAAGAACAGGTTTTAATCTCCACTTGCTTCTAAAGTTAGTTGATAATTGTGTACCTATAGATTTTCTACATGGCAAACTGTTGCAGATTTCCATCTAAGTGGAAAATGAAAAATGGAATTTGCATTACTTGTCTCTGTGTAAAATTGCAATCAATGTCATGTCACTTTACTAACTTGTATATTTCTGTTTGATGAAGTGCACTGAATATTTATGGCTCCTAAGGAGGCAATTACAGTGTATTTAAAGTCATTTATAATTTTAGACCTTTCAGGTAAATAAACCAACTTTCAGCAAATATGAGCCTCTGTTTTTCTAGAACAAATTAATAGTTATGTTCAATCTTGTATACATGCACAGAAAACACACTTGTTCTAGCTATGAATAATTTATATGATAAAGTTATGGTTGGTTTTGCATGAAAAGATTAAGGGTGTTTTCTGATGTTGATATCCAACCAAGCTAGATATTTGACAATCTAAACAAGAGGATCACAAAAAAGGACTAAACAAAAAGAAATAGAGGATAGAAGGCATAGTGGGACAAGTTTCTGTTACTCTGAATAAATAAATAGCAACGGATAATGTCAAATGTATCTGGCATTGCACACACTTGGGTCTTTAAATGGGAAATTAACAACAAAATGGAGCTCTTGAAAGTAGTGGGGGGGGGAAAAGAAAGTAGTGAATAAAGCTGTCTTCTTGCTCACACTATCTTCTATATCAGCAGGTAGATTTTAATGATCAGTCTTATCATTAAGTCAAAATCTCCTTTGCTTCATTTTTATTTCTGCTTGCTAATTTATTACGGTAGCATTTTTATTTCTTCTTGCTATTAATCCAAATTATTTTTAGCTATAAGTAGTTTTGTTCTTAATCCTCAAAGATAAGCGACTGGATGAATAGAGTTAGGTACAAAACTGACATCACAAGTCAAAGCTTGGCAATGCATATTTGTCTAGCTCCAAGATTTTCCCCTAACTTTTTCTTTGAAATTGCTCCCAAATTGTAGTAATGATTAATAATCTATTTAAGACACCAAATCATAGGGCATATGTCCTCAGAACCTGATAACCATAATCCATCCATCCATGTCTTGGTTAAGGATTTGATTATAGCTTGAATAGTCACAGGTTTTGCTGGAAGATGTCTTAATGAGTGATGCAATTTGATATAAATTGCCAACTATTGTTCATGACTATTATTTGTTTATCATTCTTTTTAAATAAAACCTGTTTTTCTGGAGTTGCACAATGTTTCAAGTATGAAGGATGGTTTTGCAAGTCATGTTTGGGTTAATTTGGAGACTATATCACACCTGATCATAGAATATGATCAGGTATGAAGTATGAAGGCTATTGCTTAACGCATTGTAAGCCGCCCTGAGTCTCCGGAGAAGGGCGGCATATAAATAAAATTAAAATATATATATATTGTATGATCATATGTGAATCCATTTAAATGTAGCCTATTCAACAACCATGCTGTCTATGTAAGGTTAGTTGTAATAAGAAATTCAAAAAACTGCACTCTTGAAAGGTGATTGAATACATCCAATAAATACTGTACAAGATTGTTGCAGTGTATCAGTAAGTCAGTGTTTCCCAAACTTGGCTATTTTAAGATGCATGGACTTCAATTTCCAGAATTCCCCAACCAGTATGCCTGGTTGAGGAATTCTGGGAGTTGAAGTCCATACATCTTCGAAGGGTCAAGTTTGGGAAACACTGCAGTAAGTTATTAGATGGTTTTCAAAAACATGGAGTATAGTGTCTGGAGAATTTAGTGAACTGAAAGTCAGTTTCATAACTGCAAGTCATCTTAAAAATATAAAATATAGAATGGGATACAGTAAAAGTTTTAATAATAGCTATTGTGATATTATTATCCTTGCTGTAATGATAAATATGGACTTGAAAGGTTCAGTGGAGCTTTCTTAATAATCTTCCTAATATTTTTTCTTCCTAGCATTTTTTCACAACTTTTTTTTTTGGGGGGGGGATTGCCCAGGAGGGGCTAGAACTCACGGTCTCCTAGTTTCTAGCATGGTGTTTAACTACTCCACCAAACTGGCTCCTTAGTTTATCTTTAGGATATGGATCAAGGAAAATAACTGGATCTTAAAAAGTGGCTGTTTCATTTTTTAATTATTTGTGCCAAGGTGGATTCTGTAGTTTGTATTGTTCAATCTTGCTACTAGTTTTGGTTTAGGATTGCTGTTCATTTAATCTTGCTTTCATCAGATCCTACTGTCATTGTTTTATTATTAATTTACATTTCATGTTTTTAATGCAGAGAACTGCAAATACAAGACTATTTATAGTCACAATAAATAATTAAATAAAGTTCCTGAAAGGATTTTAGAAAAGACAGTTACATGGGGAAATACAGAAAATAGTTTCCACTTCACTGCCCAAGCCTATTTGGGAGCAGATTATGCTACCTCTTTCTTCACTCAAAACTTCAAATATGAGAAACATTCAGTTTTAACAGCAATAGCAAAATTCACTTTGTGCACTAAATAAGCATAAAATGGTTTAGTTTTGACTTAATTAGTTTTATAGACCCAGACAGTGTAATTTATTATCCATAGTTATATTTTAGCTTATTGTGCAAATTAAGACAGCTGATATTCAAAACAATTTTTATATTTTGGTGTAATATGTGTACCTAGTCATAAAGTGTCCCTTATTCAAGATTGAAAAACTAGATAGCATTTAAAATATTGATATGATATTACGTCTCTTGGTTACATAGGCCTTTGGATTTAGAATCCAAAGAAGGCATTTGCATGAAATCAGAGTTATCTTTAAAAAAAAAATAATTTCCACCATTGCATTGTACAACCTACTTAACTTTGGGTTTTTTGTTTTTTTTTAAAAAAATAAGGATTTGGAGATGTCTGTGATGCTGTATCTGTACTAAATTCTAAATTCTCACCCAAGCTACTACAGATCTTTGATTCACTAATGTTCTACAATTCTGGTGTGTGTGTGTGTGTCCTGGAGGACAATTGTTTCTTCTTCTTATTGGACACTGAGACATAGTGTGCAAAACTACCAGGAAGAATTGTTAAAGATGGATGAGTGCTGTCATTTCTTACATGGAATGACAAATTGGCTCTGCCATTCTGAAAATTGCAAAGAAAAAAGAGAAAAAATTTTTCTATGAGCCCTGAGGTTGTTTTAAAAGTGACTTCCTTTTAAGAGTTATGATATTAATGGATAAGATATTCAGTAGATGTTGGATATCTCCTTAAGAGGTTCTTTCTAACTTTATCCAGACAGATTCTGAAATATAGAGCATTAACATTTCAAGGACAATTCACGGATGTTTCCTCCCTTTATTTTAGTAGTACTATTTCTGCAAGAAATTAAAGGAAGAATGGATAATGCTGAACAGTGGAAGAGCAAAGAAACAAATATATCTCAAGCTGGTGTTCTAAAAAGATTTAAACTTCCAAAATGCATAATACCCCCCCCCCCCCAAAAAAGGCACAACGCTTATATAATAAATTTTCCATGGACCTTTCTAGTATATGAGCCGCGGTGGCACAGTGGTTAGAGTGCAGTACTGCAGGCTACTTCTGCTGATCACTAACTGCCGGCAGTTTGGCAGATCGAATCTCAGCAGGCTCAAGGATGATTCAGCCTTCCATCCTTCTGAGGTGGTTAAAAATGAGGATCCAGATTGTTGGGGGCAATATGCTGACTCTGTAAACCGCTTAGAGAGGGCTGTAAAAGCACTGTAAAGCGGTATGTAAGTCTAAGTGCTATTGCTATTGCTATATTTTTGTCAATCTGACGCCCTCTTAGATGTTAAACCACCTGACTCATATTTATGACACTGTAGTGTTCTGGGTCATGTGACCACCTTTTGTGACCTTATGCAAAGCAAAGTCAGTGGAGAAACCAGATTCGCTTAATGACCACGTTACTAATTTAACTACACTGATTCACTTGACAAGTCATAAATCGAGGACTATCTGTAGTGGGAACAAGGCACATGCCTTACATTTACTTGTCATTCAGTCAATTATATTCTGTGCATATATTAGATGGATTAATAAATGGTAAACGGTTATTTGAAAATTGACTTACACTCATAACTGATCCTCATTCTATAAAAAGCCGTATAATGGACCCAAGTATATTTTCCTTAAATATCTGCCTAGCTTCCAATCTATTATCTGTCCAAAAGTCTAAAGGTTAGATAAGCCTAATAATAAGATCTAATCATCTGAAAAATTTGTTGAAGTTATAAGAAAACTGATGACTAGAATTTTAACAATTTTTTCAGATGACTAGAACTCATTATTATCCTCTTACTTTAATTATTTGGGCTGATTCCTGTAGTAAGTGTTATAAACATGCTTCCCATATGGCAATAAAAATAAAAATTAAAACTCTGTGGGAAATCGGTGTTTTTCTCCATTCTTCTTGTTCCTGCTGTGGAATAATAATTTCACACTCATGAATAAAAAAGCCAATACATAAAGAGAATAGATATATCCAGCAAATCCTATAGTAGCCCTTCATATGATTCCGGCAAACATCCTTAAAAGCGAGCAGGTTTTCCAGCCAATGTAATAAGCAAAATATTTATTTTTCATTCCCTAAGTTGCTATTGTAAAGAGATACACTCACACTAATGTCTGGTCAGAGTCAAGATGGACCTTTCTCCAGCAGCACTCCAGACATTTTTTCCGGTACTTCATTTTCTTACTAAGATCCTCAGTAAAGCAAGAATCGGCAGAATCAACTGAGCACATGGAGAAGCCACTCAAGTGAAATCCAGTCCCAAAGCCCAAGTGCCAGATTGTTCCAGTGAACAACTAGACTCTCAAACTGCCTGCCAGATCCCTGGAGAATTCCCTGAGCCTTCTGAAAATCCATAGTATCCATTAGAGATCTGAGGCAAAAGAAATATAATGGGATTTCCCCACCATAGACCAACTTGCTGTGGCCAATTCATTACACCCATCTCCACAGCAATTAGTCCATGAGAAGGGGCAAAGTTCAACACCCACCTACCTACCCCACATAATCTGACTAGAACTAGTATTTTTCATGTTTCAGGCCCTCAAATGAGGTCAGATTCATAGTAGTCATGGTGGTCATGAACCTCTAACTTTTTAAAACAGATTAATAGAGTTGGAAGGGACCTTACAGGTTATGTAGTCCAACCCCCTGCCCAAGCAGGAGACCCTCTACCTAAGATAGAACTCACAACCTTCTGATTGTGAGGCAAGAACTCCACCTCTAGGCCACCCTGTCTTGTCTTAGGAACCATATTAAGCAATCCTGGCAGGGTTGCCACAGTGTACATCCAATTGGCTCTGGTTCAAACACAAGGTCTCACTCCCACCTATTTTCTGGATAGCACCATTAGATAACAATCTTATGGATGACAATAGCTACACCCACCACCCCACTCATAGAGAGACTGTGGCTGGTATCAACCCAAAATCCTGGTGGACAAATTTTTGAAAGGAGACATAAGTCTCAGTAATACATGCCAAGTCTGCCCCCTCATCCAAAATTAAGTCATGGATAAGGAATTTCTTATACAGATAGATCTGACGTTTAAGAGCAACAGCTGAAACTCCTAGGCTTAAAAGATACAGAATCCTGGCATTCAAAATGAGGTGAAAGCTAGAAGGAAGGGCAGCCTGCTTTTAGTTTCCCATTCCCTCCACAACCAAGACCCTAACCTAGGTTCTCCAACTTATGATTCTAACCTAGGTGCTCTAATCAACTTATGGCAAGCATGCTAAGCAAACAGCAGATGTCAGTGTGTTCTTTTTGACATTTCTTCCTCATTGTGTGCTTGAGGAACTTTCTTCAGAAAATGGGCAAAAACTGAATTGGACTTAATTATTTTAATTTGATTAAGTCCTGTTAATTTAAAATTATTTGAAACTGATTGAAATAAGATAACAAAACAGAATGGCATGGTGGTTCTGCATTTATTCAAGCATCTCCCACTTATAGAATAGATTTTTTTATTGCCCAAGTGTGATTGGACACACAAGGAATTTGTCTTGGTGCATATTATAATAATAACTTTTATTTGTGGTCTCAGACCAAAATACAGTCTTGGTGCATATGCTCTCAGTGTACATTTAAAAAAAAAGATACGTTCATCAAGAATCATAAGGTACAACACTTAATGATAGTCATAGGGTACAATTAAGCAATCAGGAAACAATGTCATATTTAAGCAACTTATGGGAGACTTAATTGGACTGCAAATTTCCCAGCTTATGATATGAAAGAGTTTGTGACCCCCACCATAATGGCTGGGAATTCTGAGTGTTATAGTCCTAGCAAATTTAAGTTTCCAAAACAGCATAACTAAATACATTAAATAAGTAAACTGAAATAAATAACTTCTCAATTGAACCTGATGCACTTTCTTGTCTGCGTTTTGAGAGGTGAATGCCAACATCTTTGGAAGGCAGCTGGTGAGAAGAGCTAAATGTAAGCCCTAGTTACTTGGTTGACTTGGGCAGCTATAGAAATTGAATAAATAAATAATCTTTCCAAGACAGCACATCTCTTCTAGTAAAACCCTTCTATACCACATGGTGCTGGATGAAAAATCCAGGTCCAATTCCAAGCTGGGAATAAAATGGAGGCTGTTTAAGAAAGTAAGTTGGTTGATGAACAGAACCATCACACACACAGCATATAGTTCTGGGACAGCTGACAAATGGAGTTTAGAATGAATGGGTTTTACACCTTAATTCTTATGGGGTCATGGCTGGCTATAGGCAAAAGGGGAAATGCAAATCCTATGTGTTTGTCTGAGCTAATCTTGGCAACCTTCAGCTTGCCTAATTGTGTTGCTTATCTGGAGTTTCCATCTGACCCAGTCTTTCTGAACAGATTACCAAATCTGCATTTCTAAAAGCTGACCTTTTTCTACTTGGGGGAAGTGGATTGGGGCTGTTTCTGCCTCAAGATTTTTCCCCATTTCTCCTTTAGGGGAAATATTCTATTCTGCCTTTTTAATATTCCCCAAAGTATTTCAGTCTCTAGGAGGGTGGGTGGGTACTGACTTTCTACAGTGGCTACAGAGAGAAAGTATTTTTTGTCTACAGGAGAGGGAAGAAAAGGGACGAGTGAAAATAAACAGGTATTTATCAGCCAGATAAATACCTTAACTTCAGCAACTTTTTAAAAAAGATAGGCGGACTTCAATTCCCAGCAGGAAGCATGGCTAAGGAATTCTGGGAGTTAAGAAGTCGGCCCACCTTAAAAGTTACTAACGTTGAGAAACACTACCTTAAAAACGCTCGTCTAAAAGTACTAACATGCGAATGCCCCCCAAATCTCCTTTGCAAGAGAAGCAAGAAAAGGGGGGGAGGGGAACCCAACTCCGAGAAGTGAAGGAGCGCTGCCGAGTTTTCAACGCTGAAGCCGTCTCCCGCCGAAGCCGCGGTGACGTCATCCCCGACGGCCCCGCCCTCTCCTCATCTCCACCCGCCTCTTCGAGCGCGCTCCCGAGCCGGCGGGAAGAGGAGAGGCTGAAATCGGTGTGTGCTTGCGAGGAGAGTCGGGAGCGCGCACGGCGACGGCTTAGGCGCCATGTTGGAAGGCTGCTGAGCCCGGCCGCCGGGGAATCGCTTGTTACTTTCCTTCTCTCTCTCTCTCTCTCTTTTTCTGTCTCTCTTTTTTTTCTCTCTCTCCCTCCTTCCCCCCTCTCTCTTCCTCCCTCTCTCTTCCTCCTCCCTCCCCTCCCTCCCTCTCTCTCTCTCTCCCCGTTGGAGCAGCAGCCGCACCTGAACTCCCTTCGCTTGCGCGGCTGCCTGTTTCCTGCGAGAGCCCCGGGAGGAGGAAGAGGAGCAGCGGCGGCGGATCATGGATATCGAGAGGCTCCAGGAGGCACTGAAAGGTTTGCGGCTGTGGGGTTGAATTGGGATAGGCGGTAGGGGAGGCTTACCTCGAGGTCGCGGGGGAAAGGGGGAAAGAGAGAGAGAGACGAGCCCCCGACCTTGGGAGGCGGAAGAGGAGGCCTGGCCCTTAACGTGGCTTGGGAAGGAAATGCAATTCCCTTGGAGAAAAAGGGGGAAAAGTGGCGGTTGGAGGGATCCCACTTCTCCTCCCGCCACAGTCTGGGGCTGCTCTGCTTTGGGGGAACCCTACTTTGGGCTTCCCACAATGTGTGCGGAGGAGGGCAGCACGGGGCCATCGTCACAACACCGCCCCCCCTTCTCTTCCACCTCCTCTCCCGATTCTCTCGCTTTCCCCTTAAAAGGGCCCTTGGAAGTTCCTTCTTCCAGATTACTTGCACTTTCCCCACCCCCCCCCATACCTGATACTCCGCGTTTCTTCCTAATCCCTATTCCATTTTAAAATCCCACTTCCTGATACTTATCCTTTTCCCTACCCTGCCCCATTCGCTTCCCCACCCACCCCCCACTCCCCACCTCCCAAAAAATGATCAAAAATGTGTATGGACTCTCTTTTCTCCTTGATGGCAACTTTGAGCCAGGTATCTTATTCATCAGACTGCTGAAGGAAATCTGAAAAATGAGCTTCCAAATCCAGGTTAAGTTGTCTTCTGAAGTTTTATTTATTTATTTATTTATTTTATTCAATTTGTATCCCGCCCTTCTCCTAGTGGACTCAGGGCGGTGCACAGCCAGAACTAAAACACATACCAATACAAAATTTAAAATTTTTAAAAAGAATTATATGACTTTGGCCCAAAATTTAAAACATTCAAACTAAAACCCATTGACAATTTAAAAGGCTAAAAAAAAAGGGGGGGGGGTTCACGCCAGCCCTGCTTGATGGAAAAGAAAAGTTTTTAGGGTATCTCCGGGGGGGGGGGGGGGGGGGATCATTCCAGAGGGCAGGAGCTGCCACAGAGAAGGCCCTCCCCCTGGGGGTCGCCAGCCAACATTGCCTGGCTGACAGCACCCTGAGGAGTCCTTCTCTGTGGGAGCGTACTGGTCGGTGGGAGGCTATAGGCGGCAGAAGACGGTCCCGCAAATACCCAGGTCCTATGGCATGGAGCGCTTTAAAGGTGGTGACCAAGTTCAAACCAAGTTTGAATGATGTGTGGGGTTTTGGGGGAAAAAGAAGTTGCGATTTAGAAAAAACCTGGGGCAGGAGGCGGACAATACAGACTTAATTAATTTTGTCAAGCATATATAAAATAACAGATATAAGTATAAACATGATTGTGAATACATGAAAAATACATAAATGGGGATAGTAGGACAGGGATGGCAGGCACCTTGGTGCGCTTATGCACGCCAACATATTCACAACAATTCACAAGGTATGTTTTACATTTTTCTATTTCTCCTCTTCTATTTCTCCTCCCATTTCTACAGATTTTGAAAAAAGAGGGAAGAAGGAAGTCTGTCCAGTATTGGATCAATTTCTTTGTCATGTCGCCAAGACTGGAGAGACAATGTAAGTGATTTTAATTTGACTGATAGTCATATTTGTGTCCTTGAATAAATCCAAAAGATATCCCAGATTAAGAACCAAGAGTTTCCTGTGTTTTACTATTCAAATAACTTTGTTTCAGATTTAAAAGTTGCTGTACTTAATAGTTCGCTTATGAAAGTTGCTGTACTTATTCATAGTATAAATCTTTCAAGAGCTGCCTTTATCTGATCCAAATCTGATTTAAAACAATAAACTTAATGCTTTTCCCCTGCATTTCAGATAATATTTTAATTTTAAAAAAAGCTTTATGTGGCAATCAGTTTTCAGAGTTGAGAATGAACTCAAAGTTCAGATGTTGAGTCAGGCTATTGCTACATTTCGTAGCTGTCTGTGTGAAAATGTATACTGATGTGATATTGGACAAAGATTAGATTTGGATTCACTAGTTAGTATGAAATGCTGGTTTTCTTACATAAAGGTAAGAAAAAAGTAAAACAGAAGTTTTATGTAAATTTTGGTTGATAGCATTATATAAATATGTGTCCAACTGAAGTCCAAAGTTTGAGTTGCTGGCCTTTTTAATTATCTTCAATAAAAAAAGCCCATTTTGATCTTCCGGCCTTCCCAGAATCATTTTAATGATTATTTATTCTGATGTAACACCCCATGGAAATGGTTATTTTGTAATGGATTCTGTTCAGTCTTCGCAAAATCTTATAGCATACTGTGGAGTGATTTTTATCTTTTTAACTTGGTGCCATACTTACCACATCAGTTTCAAGAACTTGTGACAGACTATGGGTGGCTCCCATTTTATAATATATGGATGATGAAGAATGACAGAGAACCAAAAAACATAGCTTCAGTCTGGCTACTTTGGCTGTAGACTGGGGTGAGGGCAGGAGGTAGCCTGGCTCACAAAACCGCCTATTTTTATGGAGAGGGGGGAATGAATTCGGTTGATCATACAATTTGTGTCAGACATTAGAGAATGATTATTTTTAGAGCTATTTTATTGGTCCATGTATTGTTAAGAGGATGTTAAAATTTTATAAAGCACTTTACAAAATATTAAGCAAGATGCAATGGGGAATCCTTTCAGAAAGAAAGTATGGGGTGGAGAGTTTATTTCAGTTTCTCATACTAAGGTTTAAAAGGAAATGGAGAGTAATATGCTAAATGCTTCGTGGAAAATTCAAGTATAGATTTGAACTGAAGAGATAAGAGGTAACACAAATGGGAATGTAGTATATATAAGAGCAGAAGTATGAGAAGACATAGCTATGGCACATTTTGAAGGTAAGGATAGGAAATGTATGCTAGATCCAGGAACAAACAGAAAGTAAGCATAGGGATTTGTTGAGCAGTTCAGAATAGTAAGAAAGGTGTGATTCTGGGGGTTCATCTAAGTCAGTCAGGTTTACTATCTGGACTGATGATGAATTTCCAAGGTTTACAATATTGTATTAATGTAATACATTTTTTTTTCTGGTGAATCTGGGATCTTTAGCTTTCCAAATTTATTGTAAGAACTTAAACAATCAAGCTGCGCTTATTAAACGTACTAGAGGGGAAAGATTTCCAGCAAGAATATGTTTATTCCAGTGAATATTCTTAATATTTTTTCCTTTGTGACATTTTTTTTAAAAAAAAACCAGTTGTCTTGACATGTTAATGTTCTTTCAGTCAAATTATTTCACTTGGTAATAAGTTATTTGTTTTTTTATATATTAAAAGTAAATCAGTAGTTGGCATATAACTACTGTTTACTGGCTGTATTAGCCTAAACATATACTTTTTTGTTCTTGTCAAACTTTTGAATGTGGAATTTGAAAATGTAAGGCCCATGGTTAAGTTATTTCAGTATCCATAGTAGTTTTTGTTGTTATGATTATTGTAATAAATTGTATATTGCTGTTCTGTAGCTTGATTACATAGCGATTACTTAATGAAAAATATTCTTTGGTTTGTTTATCTTAGGACTTTTATTGATACCTAACTATTTCGGCTTTTGAAGAAACATATCTACTATTTTAATTTTTCTGTCTATAGGCTTTTAGATGAAATTTTAGAAATTTATTTATTTATTTATTTATTTTAATTTGATTTATATGCCGCCCTTCTCCGGAGACTCAGGGCGGCTTACAATGCGTTAAGCAATAGCCTTCATACTTTTGTATATTTATACAAAGTCAGCTTATTGCCCCCACAAACTGGGTCCTCCTTTAACCTACCTTAGAAAGGATGGAAGGCTGCGTCAACCTTGAGCCTGGTAAGATTCGAACCTGCAGAAATTGCAGGCAGCTGTGTTAATAACAGGGTGCATTAAACCACTGTACTACCAAGGCTCTTGGTACAGTAGGTAGCTAAACAAATATTAAAAAATAAGCAACATTAATGAAACTTATAAAATCTATATTTGTGTTTTATGTGAATTAATAAGTGTCTCCAAATGAAATTTTAATCTTGTATTTGAAAAAAGTATGTAGAAATGTATTGGACAGGGGAAAGTATTTTGAATGCTTAGAAGATAAAAACAATAAATATATGTTAATAATTAAAAGTGATATTTTATAATGGTAAAGGAATGTAGAATATAGAAATTAGCAGTGATTCTTTGTTACAAAATGTAAACAAACTCTTCAGAGGTAGTTCTGTCCTGAATGTTTTCTTCAAATTATTTTTTAAAATATGTGTGCAGTTTTCTTTAAAATGTGTTGGTTCTCTTGCTATGTAGTTCTGGTAGCATGTACAGTGGTACCTTGGTATTCATAATCAGTTGTTTTCTGGGAGGTTCAATGAGTACCAGAAACAATGAGTATTAAACAATTTTTTTCCCATAAGGAATAATGTAGTGAATCGCAAAGCAGCCAACACCAACAATTTCTAGCTTGTATGTCAAGTACCAAAGAAATGCTAAATAGCAGGACAAAATTTTTTGCATCAAAATGTGTTGAGTACCAAATTCAATGAGTTTTAAAGCAGTTAAGTACTAAGGTACCACTGTACTTTTAGCAACAATGTTCATTATTGCCCATGGGCGGAAATATCTGGATGATTTCTTGTTTGAAAAATGGTTTAATAAAATTTGATCAGTAGCCCCACTTCAGAATGTATTGTTTTGCTCTAAATATCAAAGGAGGAAATAATTATTTTAGAGGCAGTATTACATAGTATGGGAAAATTAAAAGGCTTATTGCTGAACTGTTTGATGTAGAATTGGTCTAATTATTTGGCAAATACATAAACTATTCTGCATGTTATTTAATCAAAATCCCTTTATCTGTAAAGATAGTTTATAATATCACATTGTAAGTTTTAGCACTAGCAGGGTTCACAAAATTTGCCTCATTGATACATTGTCTTAGTAAATTGAAAAGTGTGTTTGGATTGTGTACCATTTTATGATGATGCTGTATGGTTGTATTGCATAGCATTGTACATAAAAATTTCAATACACATCATGAAGTAGTTAAGGATAAAGCTAAAATACTACATTTTTTTAAAAAAAACCTAGCTCTTTGTGTAGGAAGCTCTGGAAAAATACTATGTCTGTAGAAGATTTCACATGTAATCTGAAATAAAATAGGACTCAACCTTCAATTTTATTGGACTACATATCTGTTTAGGAATTATTTGGCTTAAGATACATAATTATCTGTTAATTTGAAAAGACATCTGGAATATGTTGTGGAATTTTTAGTCGATGAATTGGTATGCATTCACAGTAGATGCCTACAGTCCCATTTATTTGTTTCTTGGGTTAATCAGTTGGGGAAATATGATTGCGTTTATTGTATACCACTCTGAAATATACAGTAATGTGACTAATAATTTATGTTAAAAATTATTATTTTCTAAATTGTGTTTCATTCAAGTTTTGAAAGCAGACTTTGAGAGTTATTCATAAAGGCCGCTAGCATTATGCATAAAGAACTTATGAATTTAATATTTCAACAGTAATACTAATGTACAGTAATGTACTAACAGAATGTGTTGGTTTTGGGAACAGTTCTAAACACATTCAGACAAGTTTCAGAAAAGATATTTAATTGACAATATACTATAATATTAAAATAACAATTCATAATAAACCACAAGAACCACCTCAGATGAGATACATGAAAATTCTGGTATATTCCTGAAGAAGGCTTAACATAGTTTTAAAAATAAAGACCATTCCTTTCTCAAAAGGGGTGAAAATTCCCAGTCTTATTACAGACCTCAGTAATATTCTGGCTGAAAGGTAAATAGAACCAATATGCAGGTAATCCTTGATCTATGGCTGGTCACTTAGTGACCATTTGAAATTACAGCAGATCCCATCAGAAGCTACTTATGACTGGTTTCAAAGTTCCAGTGTCACATTCAAAGTCCCAATAGTCATATGACCAATTTTAGGTGCATTGCAAAAGTACGCCACACAATCATTTGACTGCTATTTATGATGGTTTTGTAGGGAGCCAGCATTCACTTCTAATTTTCAGCAAAAATTGATCCATGGTGAACAATGGGTTTGTTTACGAACTGTGGTATTTGCTTTACAACTACTGCCTTTTATTCACAACCACTGAAAAAATGGGTCCGATCACTTGACCTGCTTTATGACCATAATTGCCATGCTCAATTATGGTCATAAGTTGAGAACTACTTCCAGTTATCTTAGATTGGTGCAGACATTCAAGATTGAGTGGCTTAAATGATTGTAATGAAATGGAGCCACAAGTGATGTTTATTACTAGGTTCTGCTGTGCAATTAAGCTGATGTACATGAAATCTTTTTAACCTGCATGAAAAACTAGTTCATTCACATAATTTGTCTTGTATTGAAAGAAAATAGGTGTAACAGAATTAATAATAAATAGATTAATAGCCATCCAATTATTTTATCCAATCATTTATCATTCTTTACCACCCTTCTTTTTCTTATATTTGTTTTTTAGTTTTTATTTCCGTAGTCGGCACCTATATTCCAGCTTGATTTCTAGTTCCAAAATATCAGTGATGTCTTGTTGATAACA